ATTGAGAAGCTCAACATCAACCAGAGCAGGGCAGGGGAGGGCAGGGGAGGGCAGGGCAGAGCAGAGCAGGGGAGGGATATATGAGGCTGATTGTGCCCTTTTGCTCTTTGGTTTGACCGCAACCGTCAGGTCACTGCTATGGACAAGGTGACCAACGCCAAGGCCAACATCGTCATCAGCAACAGGGGAAGGAACTCCGACGAGGACATCCAGAAGGTAGCCAGCTCGACCTCAGCTGGACTCCCGTTGCTGTCCCAGCTCACGACCTGTCCCTGCAGATGGTGGAGGAGGCGAAGTTGATGCAGGAGGAGGACGAGCGATTCAGGAGGAAGCAGGAGGTAGGAAGGTGCATGCTGTCCTCCCTGCCATGACGAGGAGCAGGCGCGCAATGAGCTAGAGGAGCTGATCCTCGGGGCTGGCGACGAGGGGCTGCCATACCAGGTCAATGCCATGCGCTGTCCCTCGCTCTCTGACCAGCATGCAGGATTGGTTCGACGAGGAGGGCGAGGTGAGACAAGGAGGGAGGAGGGAGGAGAGACAAGGAAGAAGGGAGTTGGGATCGGGAGGGAGGAGGAAGGAGGATCCAGGGAGGCGGGAGGAGGAAGCTGAGATACATAAGGAGGAGGGGGGAGGAGATAGTGAGGAATGTGCTGGCAGGACGCAAGCGAGGAGGAGCTCAGGAAGAAGATCGAGGAGCTCAGCATCAAGATCAAGTGAGAGGACTGAAAGAAGTCGAGGAGAGAGCTTGATAATGATTCTGCTGTTGATGCTGATGCTGAGTAAGATGAGAGGGAGTAGTCTGAGGGATCGTTCGTTGCTGTCTTAATTTCACATGAAAAGAAAATCCAAAAAGAATATCAAACAAGCCATCCCCATGCCTCCCCTCCTCTCCCTACACACTTCTACTTCTGCCCCCCTCCTCCCCACTCGGCTTCCACTGTCACCTTGTCCCTGGCAGAGCCAGAGGAGCTCCTCCTCCTCCTCCTCCTCCTCCTCCTCCTCCTCCTCCTCCTCCTCCTCCTCCTTCACTGCACGCTCAGCCTCCCCTCTCCCCACTTCGCTTCAGCCTCGGCCTGCCATGACAGCATCCTTCCTGAGCTCCCCGGAGTCGTCAGGGCAGCCGAGAGCGAGTCCGACGGGTCACTGCGCATGGCGTCAGAGGAAGAAGGGAAGGCAGGAGGAGGAGGATGCGCAGAGAATGTGAAGAGAAGGAGATGAAAGGGGAGAAAGGGGAGAGAAATGTTGGGAGAGGGCAAGTTGCTTGAGGGAGGTGAGGTGAGGAGGAGGAGGAGACATAGGGAGAACAAGAGAAAGGATGAAGAGGAGGAGGAGGTGGTGGTGGTGGTGGTGGAGGAGGAGGAGGAAGCCGGGGAGGAGGCGCTGGAAATGGAGACGCTGGAAGTGAAGAAGAGGAGAGTCAACCTTTTGCTTCCGTCGCTGTTGTTGGCTGCTTCCCCCTCATCATCCGATATCGCTGCTTCCAGGGGGATCTCCAGGAACTCGCGGAGCTCCGGGCTCACGACAAGCTCAGCGTCCTTGAGGAGTTGCTAGCAGCAAGAGTCAAGACAAGCACGAACATGAAGAACAAGTGAGCAGTGAACATCCTTCCTCCCCTCCTCCTCCTCCTCCTCATCATCATCATCAAGCGTGAGGGGAGATCAACACGACCAGAGCTTCGCAGCAGAAACAGCAGCAGCTAAAGGGGAATTGGGATACTGAGAAGTGTGTGTAGAGAAAGGAAGGGAGGGCAGGGGGGGCGGGGATGAGGAGAGGGGAACGGGAGCAGGTGGGGGCGGGGGATCAGGGGTACCTTGAGATAGGCGTCGAAGCTTTTCTCCCTTGAAATGATCCTGGAGGGGCTCATGGACCCGAAAGTCGCCTTGGCAGGAAGCCGATCGACCTTGAGCATGCGCTTGGGGTACGCGGTCTGAAGCTCCCGATCGAGCACGTCGAAGTCGCTGTATCTCTTCTGGATAGTCCACTTGTGCGACTGCCATGCACGTCAGAGAAAGGAGAGAGGAGCTAGTGGTCGTACCCCATCCGACAGACAGAACTGATACGTCGTGTACTCGACATTGAAGATTGAGCAACACGATTGCTGGACATTCTCATGTCCCTTAGAGAAGCAGTGGATCTTCCTCGCCTTTCGCGCTACCATTATGCGGCTCTTGCTCTCAAATGAATATGCTCTAGGAACAGCCTGTTCTGCTACTGTAGCAGTCGCTGCTCCACGTCCCAACACTACCCAGTCTCAAGAGAAGGACAATGCAATCAAAGGCTTCTTGTACGTGTCAGTACCGGAGCCTGCCTTGCACGCTCAGAGCCTTGATCTCTTCTCTTGTTGTCCTGTTGTCCTGTTGTCCTGTTGTCCTGTTGTCCTGTTGTCCTGTTGTCTTGTTGTCTTGTTCTGTTGTTGTCTTGTTCTTCTCCCCTTCTTTCCTTGCTCCACTTCGCCTCCCTGACGATGGCTTCGCTGGATTGTCAGATCCCGAGGACCCCAGGAATGTACCGGGGTAGGGGTGGAGCAAGCCATGGTGCAAAGACAGATGGGTGGGTACGTTGAATTTTGCTTTCATGACTACCGGTGTAATTATGTTTGAATGATACTAACAATACACGGTAGGGTACAGAGGTGACTGGGTGTAGGGATTGGCAGGGTGGGTGATTGATCCGTTCCGATATTGTACATGCAGGGTGGTTACCCCAAGAGTCAGATTATCTGCAAGGGGTCCCTGAACCAAAGTGCTAATAGAACACCGGTCCTATCGATACAGAAAAGTACCGGTAATTTCATAAGGGCAGGAGGTTTAGACTGCGGGGTTGTAGGGGAAGGGGTAGGGGTGGTAGAACGAACGGGCATGCGAAGAGTCGCGCTAGGGTCAAGTTGACTGAAATCTTGTGGTACAGTACGGCAATCTTTACTCAAACCTCAGAGTGATACTCTGAGGCTGGCTTGCCATAACAATACCGGTAAAACTCGTATTTAAATTATTCGCGCGACAGGCAAGGCCGTTGATGTCGCGCGACTGTTGCAATTAGCTGCTCCCCTGTAACGCCGGGACTGAGAGCTAGACTTTATAAATGCGTTTTTTAAAAATGCCTCGGCCGGGCGCGATGCGCGTGCGGCAGGAAGGGGGAGGAGGAGGAGGAGGAAGAGAGGGAAGAGGAGCAGATAGCAAGATCTGAAGCCGCGTGATGGTGTAGGATAGAGGGGAGAGGGAGAGGGTACTTCCAACATAAGGATCAGGAATATGGTACCGCAATCCGCATGCAGTGGCCAATCAGGAGCGGCAGAACATGGCGGGCAGGGGTGTGCGACAGGAGAAAGACCGTGACAATGTTGAGAGATGCAGAAAATAGACAGTGATGACCGAAAGCTGTGGAGAGACAAACGTGTGATGTGATTCAAGTATGCTGAAGGGCAATGGGGTCCGAGAAAGGGAAAAGATGAGGGGGCAGGGGCAGGCGACACTAGCTCGCGTGAAACATAGAGCCCGGTAATAGGAAAAAGAAGCAATGGACGATAACAAACGAAAGAAATTTCAGTATCGTAGTCAAAGTTGCTCTGAGAGGAGACAAGCAAGGCTTGAAAGAGCACCAAACAGGGACGAGAAAGAAGTTGATTAAGGTAGCATGGGGGGCAGCGGAAGAGCAGGACGGATAAGTAACGGAAAACATCAGCATCAGTGCTGAGAAATTGACAGACACGGTACAGTGCCAGGAGGTAGAAGCTACTACCTAAGCTAGCCTGTCGTTTAGAGAATCCCCACGCGTTCCATCGTTTTGAGTTATTTAGCAGCCACACGTCGGTGACGGTACTTGGAAGGAGTATGCTGGGGCAACCACACAACCACACAATCTGATAGCTGGACAGAGAGAGAGAAAAAGAGATGTAGACCGATTGAGAGGGTCTGAACGGGGACTGAAAGATGAATAGCGATTCAAACAGGGAAAACAGAACCGAGGTTGCGAGAGAGGTTTTTGTACACGAATCTTTTTTCGCAAGTTGTTTCTGCAATAGATTGCTGTGATAGTTTGCTTTGATAAGTCTTGCACACAAGTTGACCACAATTATGCATTGACATCACAGCGATTCCTCCATGACAGCACTTGTCGCCCTCCCCGCTTGCTGACTTGCTCCTTCAGTCCTCCTCAGCATGTCGTCAACTCTCATCGAGCAGGCCAGGACGATGCACGAGGAGATGGAGGTGACGGACTTGATCACAAGACCTGTGATCGCTCACGTGACCGTCTCTCGCTTCCCCCAGGTTGGCATGAACAAGATCGTGAAGCTGCTGGCTACGGAGGCGAAGGTACCTGAACGTTGTGATCCCTTGTGCTCGGTGGCTGATGCCTCGAACCTCGCAGACCCAGAAGCAGAAAGTCATCCAGCAGCACAAGGCAGTGGATGCACATCAGACCCTTCGCTCTCGTCTGACGTGCTGGCGGGCAGGTCCTCTCCCAAGTGAAGAAAATTCAGAAATCCGCGTCCTTGCTCAAGAACAGCTACGAGGTCTCAGACCCTTTCCTTGCTCTCATCCTGACGTCTTGGACAGGACAAGGACGAAGGCAAGAAGCACGAGGTTGCTGCCATGTCAGGATCCGAAGTCTTCGGCGGATTCTACTCCCGTCTCAGGTGAACGCGCCCTTGTGCCAGCCTCTCGTCCTTGACTGTCCCGTCAGGGAGCTGAGGGAGTACCATCGCAAGTTCCCCAACCTGTACTATGAGCCTGACAACAACGAGGATATCACCCTTGAAGGTGCATGCTCGGTCTTCCTGCTCGCCTGTTCTGACTGCGAGGCAGACGACCCTGAGATCCTCGACAAGTTCTCGGGAGAAGAGATGCATGGGAGGTTCCTGGACCTCAACGAGAATCACATCCAGTGAGTCCCGTGCTCAGTCGCTGCAGCCTCACCAACCCCCCCCTTCTCTGTAGCTGTCTCCTCCCTCCCTTCCTCCGCTGCTGCTGCACCCTCCCTCTATCCCTTCTCTGTCGCTCCCTCTCTCCTTCCCTCTTCTGTTGCCATCTTTTTCCCTCCCTCCCTCCCTCCGTCCCTCCCTCCCTCCCCTATTCCTACCTACTCCCTCTATGCCTTTCCTGCCCTTCTCATGGCGGCTGCAGGTTCATCAACTTGAAGAACGCGAGGGCTGTCTCCTACGAGGTCTACCTCAATATCTTCCTCGACTTCGCCTCCGTCCCCCTCAACGTCAGGGCCCATCGCTCGCTCCCCTCCGCTCCCTGACGGCTCTGCAGGTCAAGGGCATGAAGTACAAGAACTACCTCAAGTCCCTCAAGTCCTACCTCGTCAACTTCCTCGAGCGGGCCCAGCCGCTGGTATGTCAACCTGCCTGCCCTATGTCATCCTCCTCTCAGCGTACCTGACCCGTCCCTTGCTCCTCCATGACATCTCCCTCCCCTCCTCGTATGTCAACCTGGTTCTAATACGTCAACCTAATCCCCATATGTTTCCCTTCCTTCTCCCGTCTGCCCGGCTCACACCACTGCTACAGGTTGACTTTGCGACCCCCATGAAGAACGCTGAGGACGAGGCTCTCGCGAAGTTTGCAAAGAACGGTTGTCAGTGGCTCTATAGTGCCTGTGAACTGACTGTTTGCTCCTCCTCCTCCT